AAAAAAAACCTAAATGAAAAGATCTCTGTGAGTGAGATCCCAGTGGAAAGAATGGGTCATCAAAGAAGGAGGTACCTTTCTCTGAAGGGAGGAGAGAACTTCCACTTTGACCATGGCCTTGTCTAAAAATTATCAGAGTCAGTGAACCCAGGGGGCTTCCATAGCCTTGGCAGCTCATGACAAGAGCCTAGGGTGATTACTGTAATTGTACATCACATTTCTAATACAAATCATGTTTCTTTTATTTCTCTTAATATATTTAATTCTCCAAAATGTACTAAATTAATCTCTCATTAAAAATTTCAATATAATCACAAAGCAACACCCCATGCTTCTGCTCAACAGCAGGCAACGGTTGATCATTGTGGTCAGAGTTGTGATTCTTTTATTAAGTAATGTTTCTCTGGCAAAATTATTTTTGCCAAACTGAATACATATGCTATTACCTGGTCTTACAAGACAAGTCATACCTGTAGACCAAACCAGTTATCCGGGAGAAGGTGACCAGACAGAAAATTTGAAATACAACCAAGTGTTTATGTTTAAAAACCTAATTTTCTTTTTCTCTGAGCTGTCAGTAATTCAGCAGTAGTCCAGAATCTGCTAGATGTGAACCCAAGCTGCGTTTGGGAAAATTTTCTCAGAAAGATGCTAACACAGCTAGGATTCACATATATTACTATATCTGAGTTACTCACATATTTTCCTCACCTAAGCTAGGATTCAAGCATGTATGTGTACTAGTAAAATTTGGAGTTCTATGGCTGTGGCATCATCAGCCTCACGTTTTTCATTCTATTTATTTTGGGTCCACCATGTATGTTTAAAAATCTTAATTTACATATAAAAGGCTTTAAGCTTTCCTCCATTGCCTAGTTGATGCAGTGCAATGGACAGCCTGTCCTGAATTGAGTGTGGCTCTAACTCCACTCTCATTTTAGAAGCGTATTGCACACTAATGGGCTATTCTCCAAGCAAAATCCTTGGCATTATTTTACCAACTATTTCTTCTTTGTGTTTTTTCAATATGGCAGCCAACCATCTTTCTTAACTGCATATTTCTGCCACCAAGACTATTGAGTCTGGTTTATATCAACAAAATGTTTAGGCCATCAAGATAGCATTTTATACTTTCCAATTTCAGCTCAGCTTCAAAGATTTCTGAAGAACTCCTGACATTTCCCATGTGTATGTTGGAGTCCCAGTCGGAAGCAAAATCTTTACCCCCAATATTGCTTCATCTTCATGTTTGTTTGCCTACCAATTCTTGAAAGCTTTTTACCTGAAGATGTATGTATTTCTCAACTCTTTATGAGGTATTCTTCCAAAATATCAGTTTCTCCATGATGAATCTCTCAACTGCACCAGGAATTCACATTATACAATAATGCAACAAAATGGAAGCTCACTGGCATTTCAGGAAGGTGCCAACAATTTGTGCCTATTCTACTCTCTGATAGGAATCTACCAAATGCTTTCCCCTGTATCTCTAGCAAACATCACATGTAGCTAGCACTAAGTACACACCAACTGATATGTCTATCTTTACTAGCTCAATTGTCTCTATACTAAACTTTGAAAAACTAAAGGGCATCAATCACTTTGTTTTCTAGCATTTTCACAATTTCAGTGTGTTTGAGGTCATATTATTCCAATGTCATTTTTGAAAAGCTCAGGTTCTCTTTTCTTTGTTTTTAATTTTCCTTTTTTGTTCTTCCAAGAATGAACTAAGCATAATCAGGAGTTTATTCAATTTACTTTCTCCTCCGAACAGTCCATCTACTTGACAATTCTCTCCCATGCATCTTCAGACCCATGGTGCTGTCTTTAACCACTACCACTTCCTTACCAGCATATTTGGGTGATTAACTTTTGTACCAGAAGAATTGTATTCAGGCCATAAGCTCTCTTTATGAAACAATGGAAAAAATACCAAATTTCTCTGAGCCTCATACATAAAATAGTGATCATGATGATTATTTCATTCATAGAATTATTATAGTCATCAAATGAGATTATTTGTAGTAGGCACATAGGAAATTTTAATGTCCCTCCACTATCTTTAAAGTAATGAACTGAATCACTAAAAAGTGAACATTAAAATGCTTAGTTTCTAAATTCTAATCAGAAAATTTTCAATACTTAATCTTCAAGTTATAAATGGATGTTAATGTGAATATTAATAAGCCTGTCTTGTTTTACCTCTGATTTCTCTTCATTCTTCTTACATAACTAGGAACCACAAGCAATGGTGTCCCAAAGAATGAGTCTGTCACTGCAAATGACACAGTGACAAATCTTCCACCTATCAGCGCTGTTTCAACATTAAAAAGTTCCCAACACAAGAGTAAGTATGGAGATGTGTGCTGAAGAGACTAATTAGTGTACTGGGCAGAATTAGTCACAGAATGTTTTGCATCCCACAGTTGCAAAGAAACTGGATATTATACATTCTTATAGTTAGATTCTCTACCAAGGGGGACCATCTAGTGAAAACTTTATTTTTATAGTGTTGGTGCATTCCACTATAGCTACAATTGATTGTGTATCAAGGAAGACAAATTTAAGGATATGCAATAATAATCTATGATATTAGTTATTCCGCAAATAACAACTCAGCCAACAAACTAGGAAATGTTCATAAAATGGTAAATACCTAAGAAAGAAACAAATTTCTCAAAGTATCTCAAGATGATATGGAAGTCTGAAAAGACCTATAACACCTAAAAAAAAACAAAATAGAAATTTTAAATATTCTATGATGAGAACTCCAGGCCAGGATGACCTCACCAACAAACTCTATAAAATTATTTTCAAAAAGTGGAAATCTATCTTCCAAAACTCCTTCAGAAAGTAGAGGAGAAAGAAGCATTGCACATTAGGCTCTTATTAACCTGATATCAAAGGTAGAGAAGAATAGGAAAAAAAAAAAAGAAACAAGCAAAGAGAACTATAGCCCAATATTCCTCAGGAACATAAATGCATATATCCCTAATAAAACATTAACAAATCCAGTAATACATAAGATAGAATACAAAACCTCAAGAATGGGAGGTTTGTTTAATATATGAATGTTACCTAACACATCATATTAGCACTATATGCAGAAAGAGCATTTGATGAAATCCAATACCCATTCATAATAAAAACTCTGAATGACATAGAAATAAAATGTAACTTCCTCCATCTAAGAAAACCCAACTACTAACATCATGCCTAATAGTGAAAGATTTAATATTTTCCCCTCAATATATGAATACTGCACAGATGCCTATCCTCATTAATTCTATTCAGCATTATAACCAGAGAATCTAGATAGCATGTAAATAGATGGATAAAAGACAGATGGATGGATAAGGAGATGGTTCTCTCTAGCTGAATAGGAAGGAATAAAAGAGTTTTTAATAAGTAGACCACACAATAATCCATGTGGAAAATTCAAATAATTCACAATAGAACTACTGTAACAATCAAGAGTAGCTTCTATCACATGGTACAACATATATGTGTATATATATATATAAATAAATCATTTATTTATGCTAGCAACAGCAATTCAAAATAAGATTAAGGAAATAATTTCATTCACAACATTAAAGTATAAACTATTTTTAAAGATTTGTTTATTTATTTATTTATTTGAAATAGAGTTACAGAGAAAGAGAAGGAGAGACAGACAGATCATCCATGCACTGGTTCACTTCCTAAATGGCCACAGCAGCCAGGGCTATGCCAAGCCAAAGGCAGGAGCTAGGAGCCTTCTCTGGGTCTCCCATGTGGGTGCAAAGGCCCAGGGATTGGCTCATTGTCCACTACTTTCCCATGTATACCAGTGAGGAGCTGGTTTGGAAGTGAAACAACTGGGACTCAAACCAGTACATGTGATGCCAGCACTGCAGGAAGCAATTTAACCCACTGAACCACAGTCCTGGCCCCAGAAGTATGAACTATTTAAGAAGGAATTTAAGAATAGAAATCTTTAAACTTGTACTCTAAAGTACAATGCATTTCAGTGAGAAGTGAAAAGTCTAAGTAGAGGTGCATTTCATGTTCACAGACCAGAAGGCTCTGTGTGTAACAGTGCTTCCTAAGTTATCAGTGACTGATTGATATATTCAATACAATGCCTATCAAAATCTCAATTCAATTTTCTTAGAAATTGAAGTGCTTATCTCTGATTTTCTATGGAAATGAGAAGGACCTAGAATATCCGAAATACTTTTTTAAAAAGAACAACACTGGAGGCATTCCACAGCCCAATTTCAAAACATACTCTAAAGCTATAATAATTAAGGATGAATCTCTAAAACATTATGTGTTGCTGTGGATTTGTTCTGAGAGGAGGAGCGTGGTGGGAGCAAGAGGCGCAGAGTCAGCACACAGACCCCGGGAGTCAAGTGAAAGCGGGCCAGAGGCGAGCAGCCCGCAGACTTGTTTATTTCAGTTGGTACAGCAGCTTATATAGCTGAGGCAGCCAATCCGGTCAAGGAACATTTTATGTCCTACCCAATCACTGCCCATTGCCAGGCAGGTTTCTTTGCCAGGTGGGTTCTGTAGCCATTCCTGAGTAACTGACACTCACTTGCCAGCGACCATCTTGGCATGGCCTTCTCATTCCACCTCAATTATGCTCAGTGAAAAAGGCCATATCCAATATATGGCATATACTATGATTCCATTGATATCAAATATACACAAAGGACATTTTCATAAGGACAGAAGGTTCCTATGTGATTGCCTGCAACTGTGGATGACAGCGGAGACTGACTGTAAAGAGACTCAAGACATTGTTTCATGTTGTTGGAAATGCTCTAAAATAAAATTAGTTGGACATACAACTCTGTAAATTGACTAAAAATTATTAGTTGCATACTTAAAATGAGTGAATTTAGTGGTATGTAAGTAATGTTTATAAAGTTGTGTTCATAATCTGAGCTACAAAATTCAAGCAAGAACTGGAATTAGCTGTTGTAACTGCTAGTGAAGCTTTAGAAGAGAGTCTGATACAGTCATGGTGATTCATGGGCATGCCCAGGACATTTGGAAACAGGCGTTATGAAGAAATAGCGTAAACTTAATAGACAAGAATGGGGAGTATGAACTCCATGACCCAAATGAAATTGTTCCTGAGATAGAGAGTGGCAGAAGCTGACCTCCCTTGATTTCTGACACCTTGCCACTCCCTGGCCATATATATCCTCACAACAAGCACTTCCCACATTCTAGCTTCCATGATACAAATAATGTGTACTCGTATGTATTGTCAAAATGTCCTGATTGGAAAATTAGTGATCTGCCATAATCACCTTATGAGATACCATCCACTAACAGTAATGGATACATTATTGGCAAATTCATAGTCCTAAAAAGAAGCAGTGACAGATGACGCATAATCTAAAGCTCTTCTTTTTTTTTTACACTTCCTCCCCTAGACTTTATTTTTTTCCCCAAAGAAGTCATTTATTTAATGTGTGCAAATTTCATAAGTACAACTTTAGGAATATAGTGATTCTTCCCATCATACCCACCCTCCCACTCCAACTTCTCCTGCCTCTCTGATTCTCAGTTTCATTCTCCATTAAGAAAAAAAAAAAACTGAACTAACTAAACTAAAACTGTTCTTTAACAGTCAAGACAAGGGCTTTGAGAGACCTCCAGTGAAGAGAGAGATGGATGGAGCAGGAATTCAAGATCTACTCTTGTACAGCGATACATCAAGAACACTGTTTCCCCTTTTTTATTGTAATCATCTTATTTGAGCTCAACATAAAACAGTCAGCTAGATTTTACACCATAAATGCAAACTAATAATTACCTTTACTGAGACAGTAACCCCAAAGAAGAATTTGAGGGATAAGGTCAACTCTCCTTCATATGAAAAACATTCCCTTATGATAGTGTTTTGTCTTCTGGCAAATAGAACCTATTTCATAGGCAAATAACTGAAAGGAAACTTTAGCAAACCAAAAGTCACCTACTTCATAATATGATTATCTCTAAAGCAAACAAGAATAAAATTGCATATGTATATGCATAAGTTGTAGTAGCTTCTGGAAGACTACATTCAAATAATGTGTACTCTGCATCATCCATTCAGTGGTTGATGATGAGCAAAATTTTATTCAGGGGCTGTGGTTTATTAAAATTAATATTTACAAAGAAGTATGTGGTCAATCCCATGAGTCACTTAAGACTCTTAATTTCTCTCTGATTCATGAAGTAAAATGCCCTCCACAACTCGGTTCTGAGGACTATCGTATTTATTTAGCTTCTAAACACAGTTTGAAATGGCTTTCTTCCAAGGAGCTAAAAAACACATCAAAGCCATTTCTTTAAAAAAACTGAAACACCCTGGAAAGCAAGATAATGAAATAGCAACATTTACTGCTGTCCTTTTCATTTGTCATTTGATTAGTCAGTTCCACACTAAGTCCTTTAGTTCTGTATTCTGAAATTCATTCCTCGGGCACTCATTACTCTTCGTTCTTCATGGTACTTCCCACACAGCATGGATTCTCAGTACATTGAGTTTGCACACAATTCTGCTCTCCAAGTGATGAAAACTTTACCCCTCCCTCCAAATTCCTGATTAGCAGAGTACCACTCCCTTTGCACTCCTCACATGCATACATATCCAGAATTAATGGATTCAGGACAAAGAGACAGAGAACAAAACAATTTAATATTAGAAGAAAGTTGAATAACTGAAGAATCACCTCCCTCTTAAACATATGGGCAATGGCCTTTTGGATAGCAAACATCAGATAAAAGCATTATGAGTGTGTCATATCAAGACTAGACTGAATGCAGGTTTCATTTAGAGTGGAAGAGTTATTGATGTCTACTGCTTTATTCCCTGGAAATGTAGAATGCAGATAAAAGCAAAGCATGTCCTCAAAAACATTTCTCTCTCATCTTTTCCCATTCTCGGAGAGTTGTGTGTAGTTCCCCTGTTTATTTACTTTTGTTCTTCCTGTAAAAAAGCAAATTCCTAAAATTCTAGAGTTTTTAAATAGCAATCCTGATTAATTCAGTGCTCTCACTTTAAGTTAAGGAAATGTGAGCCTGTTGACTTAATCAGCAAGTTAATTTACTCACAAGGAGTATTTTGGAAGAGCACCTGTGTGCCTGACATTCTTCTTCATTGTGGGAAATATTTATAAACTAGACAGATAGTGCCATCATGGAATTTGCCTCCTAGTGGATAAAAAAGATAATAAACAAACATTAATACCTTGTTATCAAATAGCCGCATTCTAAACAATATAAAAAAGATGAGTAAAGAAAATAATCAAGGGATGGTGATGGCAGTGTCAATTCTCCATCAGGACTTAAGGAAGCCCTCTC